TCCACAGTCAGCTGGTCTGAAATTAGTTAATTCAACTTTCTTCTTTCATTTTTTCCCCAGAAAACATGACTGAAGAAGAATCACAATGAATCATTTATTAGAGAAAGAACAGTAGTAAGTGTATGGCATATTTCATCCCATAGATTACGAGCTTATTCTGCAACTTTAAAGTCAATAGCACCTTTGATTTTGATGACTGAAAGATGAAGAATGGGGTTATTTTGATGGTATATTAATAGTCAGCTCTATTGCAGAAGACCACCACCAGATGGTACATCAGAGGGAGAAGGGAACATCAAAAAAGGTCACTAAGGCAAAAGCCCAATCTTTACCCAAACTGACACATCTTCAATGTGCATAAGCAGAAGACAGAACCCCACTTTTTCAGACTTACTACAAAATTATTAAAGAAAAAAGCACCAAGTAAAAAATTTCAGTATTTACTGTCTCTCAAAGTTGGAAAAAACTTGCCTCCTGTAGCTACATTCTACACTCAAAACAACACAAACGTACAGTAATATCTCCTGGAAATCACTCTTAAGTATTCCATATTTACACTGATATCACGGCAGAGATTTGACCAAACATTTCTCTGTATTAGTCCCCTTTGTTGTAATTAAGGCAGAGAGGTATTTTTATTTCTGCGCATTGCCATAGCTGAACTTTGAAAACAAGAATATGAATAAGATTTCTGCATTACCTGCAACTGTTTGAAGATCGCCTTTAATCATTCCCAAAACCGGAAAGCAAAGAAATGTTTTCCAAACGAAGCCAAACATACTTATTTGTGTCAAAAAAAGCAGCACGCAAGGGAAAAAAAAAAAGAAAATCCCTTTTAGCAAAAGAACTGTTGTCTTTAACGTATCCTTGAACCAACCAGGAGCATTGCCCTTCTTGAAAATGTCTTGACGTCACGTATAATTATCTTTGGAAAAAACATTAGGTAAAAAAAGTCAACCAAGACATCCTGGGAATATTCTTTCCAAAGACAGTATTCCGCTTTAGTGAAGAAACAAGAAAAGGTGATGGAAGTAAACTCCTTGGAGCTAGCAGATGGACTGAGACAATTTTTTAATTTTAATCTGGCCAGCTAAGCTCTTTACCAGAGCTTGTCATACCATTAACAGACAGTCTAAACAAGGACAGCACCTTTCACATTTAATTAACCGTGATTTTTCATTGGCCCTTCAATTTCTGCCCTTTTTTAAAATCATGCTGACCACAAAACATCAGAGGGAGCACGCTAGTCTCCAGTGGAAGGTCTCAGTGTGTTTGTCTTCTGCTTGTACAAATATACGTATCTAAAAATGCACTGACTCGCTTAAACACTGATGGAGATGTAGGCAACACCGAAGCAATCTTTCTGCAGGATTGCTTCTTCTGGTGACAGAACTAATACAGCCCTGCTGCCTGAGTCTCTGCTAAAGCAGAAAATCTCGTGCTGTTACACCACTGTCCCTCGCATCCCAGAAGAGGTGCTTCCCCCCGAGATAACGCCAGGGCAAGTTGTGATGCTTTCATCTCTGTCCAGGTATTACCTGACATGAGCAGTAGGAACAAATTAGGACAGATGCCTGAAGAGACGAACAGCTAAGAAGAACTGCAGAAAGAACAGAGGGCAGGAAAGCAGCAGCAATCGCAGCTCCCCTCCTCTCCAGGGTGAGCTCATTGTGGAAATGTGCATGGAAGCAGTCCTGCAATGGCAGGCGGCATTCGGACCACTAGAAAAGCCCCGTCAGGGCTGTCTCCTGGGTGGCGTTAACTCAGGACTCGCTGGTTACTGCGTTCAGATCAATCTGAGCAAACTGCTTGTTTGTCTGAAGTGACATTTTTGGTAGTGGTTTTGCGTAAATATTTCAAAGCTGGATTCCCAAGGCTTCCCAGATGACAGTCTGCAGAGCATTTACACAGAGCTCCTTAGGTATACAGCGCTGACTCCTCCCTTCTAGCTGCTCTGAACTCCAACAATTCAGATAACACTGATAATTCCTGATACTGCACACAGGACACTCGCAGGAATCAAATAAAACCACCTTTGTTTTTAGGCTCTGTCTTCTGACATCTAAGAGGCTCTAGTAGGTATTTTTCAAAATGATAACATATTTTCCTTGATTTTTCCAGAAAACTACTAAGTTACACTTTAAGTTAAACCACTGAGCTGCTCTAACACCCCCAAACAGTTTTCTTAGAACCAGACATTTTGGATCTATCAAACCAGCACTGTTCACCTAGGCTGGCTCTGTCAAGCTAACTACAATACTGGCAGCAGCACCAAGTGGAGTGCGCTCCCGGAGAGTCTTCAGATTTACGGCACTGCTGTTTGTTTCATCAGCAAAGTACTCAAAGGCACTCAGAATGTGAATAGTATAAAAACTACCTGCTTTATATCTCTGTCAAAATTTATTTTCTATGGTATGGCTGCGTCAGCTTCTGTGTGATAAATTATTTTAAACATTTAAGTTCAGTTTCATTAATATTAGTTCAAGCTATCAATTTTAAATTCAACACTGATTTCAGCACTGAAATTTAGATTTGCACAACTGAAAATCTCCTGTACTTACGATAGCAAAATGCATAACTAAAAGCACAGTCATCATTTAAAGTTTCTTAAAACAAGCAAAACAACTCATGATAGTTTTCCAAAATCACCTTGAAAAATTAACCCCTCCCTTGATTTGACTAAAGTCTTTACAGTAATACTTTGCATCAGAAGATGCATAGATAGTTTTCAAATCACCTTGAAAAATTAACCCCTCCCTTGATTTGACTAAAGTCTTTACAGTAATACTTTGCATCAGAAGATGCATAATTCTTCATTTCCAGCAGCCAACTTGTATCTATTCAAAAGTACTTAGGAAAAGTATATTCTTGCTAGGGAAAAAGAGGGAAGTATAATCCTAGCGACGTAACATGCCGAGATCACATCAGTACCTCCAAAAATCAAGAGACAATTTTCTGACAATTTGTATTTCTGAAAAGAAAGGACATGCACTTTCATATAGCAGATGTGATTAAGCTGAATTCTAGTTCTCTACAAGGTAATGGTCACTGAAATTCTGCTACAGCACACATACTGTTCTAAAGAATTTCATTGTTTTCAAATGCAATTTATTCAAAAAGCTAAATCCACTCATCTGTAGCTAAATAACGCAAAATAAAGGTATACCTTAATGAAAATGCCTCTAAAGAAGAGCCATATGATGGCAGACACTCCCTACCTCCAAGCTCACAGGGTGTAATACCAAGATTATAAATTGTCTCCTGTGACTGGACTACGGCAACTGACTTTATGGCATTGACAGGACTCACCAACAAATTTCCCAATCAGTTTAGCTGAGAAAATTAGCTTAGATGAAACCTTGCCACTTGTTCAGTTTCTGTGGTTGCTGTTGCCAAGCATTTCACCATTACTGCTTTTTGCTTGTGCTTCCAGAGAGTTCTCCGGTGAACTCTCTCCCAAGAATAAGCAAGGTCTGAGGCTGTCTAGCCTTCCAGCTGAGCAAATTAGCCCACCATAGCCTGTCATACTGCCACCTCTTCCATCACATAGTATTGGTAAAGTATTTGGAGCAGAATAATCAGGAAGTGAGGTCAAGCAAATTGACCTAACTCTTCATTATCTACTCTGTCCTTGTAATGTAAGCCTATTCTCGGCATTCCTCCTTTTCTGAACTGTTGATCAGACAAGTATCTCTTGCCTTGCTCAACAGTCAAAGATGATCCCGGTGCCTGTGCTTCATCTTTGAACGATGTTTCTGACTTCAATTTTGTTGGACAGAATTATCGCTGTTGGTCTTGGTTTTATTCGACCATTAATGGAAACATTTTCAATCCTGAGACCTTTCAAGTCTCATTCTACAATTCCTGCTTTTCCATCTAGAAACCAGTCTTTTTTTGGGAGGGTTGCCAGAAGCAATATTCCGCTTCCCTGTCGTATCAAGATAGAAGTGTTACTACTGTGGCATTTAAGTCTTTATTATTTTGTAAGGTGTAGTACTTACTGAGCACTGCAAGCTCATCTCAGGGTCAAATTCTAGGAGGCGAGTCCCAGAAAGGACAGATGGACTGCAATGAATCTATGCCTGCAATTCCAGAGGAAAAACACAGCAGTCCACAGATACTTTTAAAAAAGCACACTTGCGGTTTCATGATTCACTTCTCCAGTTCTTGATGAAAACTAGGGGGTTTTTTATGTTTTTCCTGGAAGATTCGCCCAAGTTACTTCTCTTCCACCTTGTTTCTTGTGTCATGCTTGCCAACAGTACCTTACACGGATCTCCATGACTCAGATTTCTTCATGGAAGCCAGTTTCTGGTCGCACACAGCCAGAAGGTAGCAGTTTCTTTTAAAGAAACTGATAGCTACATGTAACACTTTGAGTACAATTCATTGCCTTGAAACCAAAATTACACAATGTAGGGTAAAGAGCCTTACAAGACTGGTTTGCTTTGAAGTATCACGCCACTCCACCATTTCAGTTAAACAGGGATTAATACAGGAAATGGAGATGCAGGAGATGTGCAAAAAGGTCCCCGAGTCAGTCTGGTGCCTTATATATGCTAAAAGTTATCTTCGGGGAGTTCTAGCAACTAAAAAGGAAGCAAGAAAGTACCTGGAGTGTAACTTTTTCCACAGACACTTCCTAGCATTCACCACAGATCTGTTAAATGCAAATGGCTGGAATGAGGTGGGTTGCGGCTGGTAGACCCAGGCATTTCCCAGGCTAGTCATTCGGGCTGTCAAGACTGTTAGCTTAACTACAGAAAACAGCTGTAAGGCTCTTGAGTCAAAAAGCAGCCTTGCTTGCCACAAGAAGCTGTGAACTAGCTGCATGCCTTTATAAGGACTGGAGAACAAATAATCACTTCGATACAAATTGGGTTAAGATACACATACTGTGTATATACCTTAAAAGCAGTAAGATGGCCTATCCTACGCTTAGCTCACTGGCTATTTGTGGCAGTTGGGAAAAGAATGGTAACAATCACGTTCAACAACTTCTGGAGAGAATTTTAATATCAAATGTATTGGCATTCTCATAGCACATATCTAACAAATCTACAAAGGCAATCCTTTAATGTTATAAAACCAGTTTAGAAAAGTTTATACACGACTTTTGGTTTTAAATATCTATAAACCAGTCAATCTAAAAAGGAACAAAGTACTTTATGATAAAAACTAACTTTAACATAAGAAAAAGCCCAAACTATTTGTCATAAGGGAACATTGAAAATATGCATCAATTAAAAAGGTGTACAAAAAGGGCACACATTTTCGCATTTTATCTTTCATCTGTCTTAGAATAAATACACAGATTATCCCTGTAAGTAATGCTGATGATGTGATTTAGGTGATGAAAGCCACAAAACCTCTGGGATGAGGGGGACAGATGTTGGTGGGGGGTAGTGACAAACCACAGAATAAAAGTAGAAACAAAGACAAAAACCACAAAGTAATTGCACTAGGCTGCTCACAGCTATACAGAAGGTAACTGCGCTCAGCAAACTACTTTGTTTTAAAATTGTCTCTCTTCTCCAGAAAGAATGCTTCCTGGTTTGAGAAACAATGGTGGGGGATTTTTTTGGATGACTGTACAGAACCTGAAGTAATAACTGGATTTTCCAAATGCTAGGTTTCAGAGCTGTCTTGAGGGAAGGGGCCCTGAGAATTCTGCAATGCCATAAAAACGTTCACATCTTTGGGTTGCCCTCAATTTTTATTTTAACTCTCTAACCTACTTGCAGCTTTAAGAGCTCCGATTTTGTAGATACGTTTATGACACAGGTGGTTTTGGTGGTTATCTGACACACGGTCCTTCTGAAGGGTGCGATGACACTGAAGTTTACTTACAGTGGGGAACAGGAGAAAGCATCCTCTTAAAACAGTCACCTTTTATCGTGCAGTAACTACAGAAAAAAAGTGTGCACACGTCAAAATGTTATTGAAGTTTTATGTGATCACTGTTTGAGGAAAAACTACATAAATATGTATTAAGACAATGATAAACTTGTGCTAGTTTATCAAATCAAGTCTGAGTTCAAACACTCAAATATTCGGGCATCTTTACTCAATTGTCCTGAGCAAAGTATAAATCCTGTTTGTCTTATATGTAAATTACATACCTTAAAGACATATTATATGTAACATAATGACCTTTTTGAATGAAAATGGCCTTATTTTTCAGTAAAACACCTCAAACTTTTGAGGTTGTTGAGCCACAACAGGCAGAGTACTTGCCTTTCTAATGCAAGTGATACCATAAGATTTGCAGGTATAACTCCCAAAAATAAGGTGAATAGGATTAAAAAAATCTACTGCCTACATGGGTTGTATTGGCACGTACTTTGAGAGCAAGATTTCTTCTAAAATCTGGTAAGAAAAAAAACTCTTCAAAAATACTTTAAAAAAATCCACTCTCGACTTTAAGAGATTTCAACAGTCACTTTCAAGCAAATGTCTTCCACTCATGGCAATAAATTTTTATGATGAAAATGCTAGGGAGGGAAAAAAATAAAAATAAAAAAAACCAACTCAGCAGCCTCAAGTCTTGGCAGAATTTTCTGACACATGCAGACAACTTCTGTATATAATCAGAAGCAAAACAAAAAACACATCTCTAAAGAGAGTCAATATTAGATCCTTAAATTAAAACAATACATAGTATTCATTCTATCTGTATGAGCTGCAAAATCAAGAGAGACACAGTATAGGATCAAAATCCTGTCTTCAGGCCTGAGTCCTACATGATCATCCATGTTTATATACAATTGTAAAGAACAGGCTCCAAAAGATGAAAATATTATTACATCCTTGTGGCACATACCTGTACGCAGCTTTCATATTCCAAGTAAAGAATCAATTAGCAATCCATATGTATTAGCTTTAACTTACATATTTACACTTTTATCTACAACCTTCTCCTTTCCCCCCCCAACTGCATTCTATGACCACACAATCCAAATGAAAAAAATTCTTTAAATAAATACACACTGAACAAACAAAATACTTCTTGTGGTTCTTTTGTTTTTTCTTCCTTGCAAGGCAGAAAGAGCCCAAACGCTGCTAAGCAGAGTTCCAGTTACTTTATACAGCAATGTTCTTTGCCAGGTCTGGCTTATTAGATTTATTAGCTGCTGCTGCCACTATGCTGTTGAAAGTGCAGTTGCAAGATCAGGTCTCGAATTTCTTCTCTTTTGCTTCTGATCAGCTGACGAGGGAACCACTTCTCCAGATGCAGTGGCTGTTCAAAGTTAACTATGGGATTCTGGTAACAGAAAAAGGAATATTTACAGCATGAATTTCCTAAAGCAACCTTCAAAAAGAATTTCCAACCCTTTCATTACTGCTGAGACCAAGGAGGCACAAACAAGTTTCCATGAGACAGTGACAGGCTTCAAAGTCAAATTCCAGTTCCTCCATGGTAATCACATATATACATATCCTTACCACAAGCTACTCATGGTAAACACCAAACAGGTTATCACCACTTCTCTTAAAGATACATCAGTATAAGCACATATTCAAGGCAGATTCCATATACTATGATATAATTAGACATACTCTTGATATCTAACAAGGGACAGATGCACTTTGGTCACAAAACACACATGTACAATCACACTATAGGGAAGGATCAAGCATACAAGTTAAGCATGATGAGGTTTTGTTGCCTCAGGCATGTGTTTTTCTGTCATGAGCTGGTCTGACAGAAGACAACAAAGAAGCAAGAACACTGCTAGCAGTTTTAGCAGGACATGAGAGGGGGAGAATTCGGAACAAAAGAGGATAGCAAACTGAAATGGCTGAGAGATGCTGGCAGCTTTGGCAGTAAGACCACAACACCACATCCGATTTGCCAAAGTCAATTTTTTTCCCCTTCCCCTCTTCATTCTTTTGCCATGCTTATATCTCACCGCCTCCTTCCTTTGAATAAAGTAGTATATGAGAAATTGAAAAAGCAAAGCAAAAAACACATCATGATTTGCGGTCTATGAGCCCTGGTATGTTTAGGCCAAGTTACAACCACCTTGTTCTGGCCTTGCTTCTGCAAGCAGAACATGACCGCACTGTTAGAGAATGGGCAGTTCAAAAGCATTGGTAAAGAATTTCTTTTTCCACCTACACAAGAGCTCAACTCATCTATCACAGAATCACAGAATGGTTGCAGATTGAAGGAACTTTGGAGGTTACCTGGTCCAACCCCCCTGCTCAAGCAGGGCCACCTAGAGCCAGTTGCCAGGACCATGTCCAGACAGCTTCTGATTATCTCCATGGAGGGACACTCCACAGCCTCTTTGGGCAAACTGTACCAGCACTTGGTCACCCTCACAGTCAAAAAAAAGCATCTCCTTAAGTTCAGAGGGAACCTCCTGTGTTTCAGTTTGCATCCATTGCCTCTTGCCCTGTCACTGGGCACCACTGAAAAGAGAGGGCTCTGTCCATTTTGCACCCTCCCCTCAGCTATTTGTACACATTGATAGGATCCCTCCTGAGCTTCCTCTCAAAGTCCCAGCTCTTTCAATCTTTCCTCACAGGAGAGATGCTCCAGTACCTTAATCATCTTTGTGACCCTTTGCTGGACTTGCTCCAATAGTGCCACCTCTCTCTTGTACTGAGGAGACCAGAACTGGACACAGGACTGAGGAGAGGGGAAGGATCACCTCCCTCGAACTGCTGGCAACATTCCTCCTATCATAGACCAGGATACTGCTATCCTCCTTTGCTGCAAGGACACACTGCTGACACACATTCAACTTGGTGTCCACCAGGACCCTCAGGTCCTCTTCAGCAAAGCTTCTTTCCAGCTGGGTGACCCCCAGCATATATTGGTGCCTGAGGCTGTTACTCCCTGGGCACAGGACTCTACACTTCTTGTTGAACTCCATGAGGTTCCTGTCAGCCCATTCTCCAGGATCTCGAGGTCCCTCTGGATGGCAGCACAACACCCTGGTGTATCAGCCACTCCTCCCAGTTTTGTGTCACCTGTGAACTTGCTGAAGGTTGCACTCTGCCCCAACATCCAGATCATTAATGAAGATGTTAAACAGGACTGGACCCAGTATTGATTCCTGGGGTACACTGCTAGTTACTGGCCTCAAACTGCCTGCCACTGATCACCACCCTCGGGATCCATCCAGTCAGCCAGTTTTCAATCCAACTCACTGTCTGCTTATCCAGCCCATACTCCATCAGCTTCTCTATGAGGATCTTATGGGAGACAGTGTCAAAGGCCTTGCTGAAGTCCAGGTATACAATATCCACTGCTCTCCCCTCATCTACCAGGCCAGTCATTTCATCATAGAAGGTTATCAGGTTGGTCAAGCATGACTCCCACCCGTCTTTGTGAATGCATGCTGACTACTCTCAATCCCCTTCTTGTCCTTCACATGTCTGGAAATGGTTTCCAGGATTAGTTGCTCCGTTACGTTCCCAGGGATCGAGGTGAGGCTGACCAGCCTGTCGCTCCCCAGGTCCTCCTTCCTGCCTTTTTTGAAAGTAGGAGTGACATTTGCTTTCCTCCAGTCCTCTCCCGGTTGCCACAACGGTTCAAATATTATCGAGAGTGGTCTCACAATGATATCAGCCAGCTCTTTCAGTACTCATGGGAGCATCCCACTAGGGCCCACGGACTTATGAATGTCCAGTTTAAGTATTCCCTAGCGTGATCCTCTTCCACCAGGGGTATGTCTTCCTTGCTCCAGCCTTTCCTCCAGCCTCTAGGGCCAGGGACTCCTGAAAGCCAGCCTTGTTAATAAAGAGTGAGATGAAGAAGGCATTCAGAAGCTCAGCCTTTTCTATGTCCTGTGTCACCAGGGCCCCTGCCCCATTCAGCAGCCAGTCCACATCTTCCCTACTCTTCCTTTTGCTGCTTACATAACTATAGAAGCCCTTCCTGTTGCCTTTGACACACCTCACGAGATTAAACTCCAGTTGGGTTTGGCTTTCCAAATTACATCTCTGCATGCTTGGACAGTGTCTCCATATTCCTCCCAGGTTACTTGTCCCTGCTTCTGTCTTCTGTATACTTCCTTTTTATGTTTGAGTTTTGCCAGGAGCTGCTCCTCCATCCATGCAGGCCTCCTGACATCTTTGCTTTACTTCCCGTTTGTTTGGATGAACTGTTCTTTAGCTTGGAGGTGGTGTTTCCTGAATATCAACCAGTCTTCTTGGACCCCTCTTCCCTCCATGGCCTTATCCCATGGAACTCTTCCAAGCAGATCCCTGAAGAGGCCAAAGTCCAGGCTTGTGATCTTGCTTTTTGCCTTGCCCCTTCCTCTCATGATCCTGACCTCCACCATCTTATGGTCACTGCAGCCAAGGCTGCCTTTGACCTTTACATCCCCAACCAGACCTTCCTTGCTTGTGAGTGCCATCCAGCAGAGCACCTCTCCTCATTGGCTCCTCTATCACTTGGGTCAAGAACCTGTCATCAGTGCTCTCCAGGAACCTCCTGGATTGCTTATGTCCTTCTGTGTTGTCCCTCCAGCAGATGTCAGGGTGGTTAAAGTCCCCCACAGGGACCAGGGCCTGTGAACATGAGGCTGCTTCTAGCTGTCCCATAGGAGGCATCATCCACTTGTTCTTCCTAATCAGGTGGCCTACACCAGATGCCCACTACTATGTCACCTATATTAGTCTGCTCTTCAATCACTACCCATAAGCTCTCAGTTGGCTCCTCATCCAACCCGAGGCAGAGCTCCATGCATTCCAGCTGCTCTCTCACATAAAGGGTAATTCTACCTCCTCTTCTTCCCAGCCTGGCCTTCCTAAAGAGCCTGTATCCATCCATCACAGCACTCCAGTCATGTGAGCTATCGCACCACGTCCCCATGATCTCAGCAAGATCACAGCCATGCAACTGCACACAGATCTCTAATTCCTCACATTTATTCCCCATGCTGTGTGCATTAGCGTACAGGTGCTTTGGAATGGCGATCTCTTCCACTACAGAAGAAAAATCTATCCACTGGCCAAGGCCCCACACAAGGCCTTCCACGCACAGGACTCTCAGAGAGAACACGGACCACATGTATAAGCAATAAAACAATGAGAGCCAGTCAACGGACAGAGCAGGAGGGCAGTGCACTGATCAGGGGGAAGAAGAGTTGGGGACACTCTAAAAGACAGTGCCTGAAGCCCAGAATCTGCAGATGTTTAAAGGTATGTGCTGAACAGGAAAGAGAGGCTCACTTAGCTCTGTGCACTCCCTTTTAAGGATTCCCCTCTCCCTCTCTCTGCAGAAGCTGCTGCCTGCAGAACCACGCAAAGAACAATGCACAAACTGACCAAAGTTTTAGAGGCTACAAGAAGAGATGCACAGAAAAGATGCCTTTGTAACGTCTGTAGGCCAGAAGTGTGTAAACTAAATAGACTCCAAATACACCCAAATAGTTACGGATATTGAATGTGTCAATGTAAAAGCAACATTAAACTACAAGGTCAGAAATGTTTGCCAGCAAACGCAGATGAGAAACTATCTGGCTCCAGATACCAAGACCCCTGCCACTACTTGACGAGTGGGTTTTATCTCCTCCTCCTCAAATGGCTTTGACACTTTCAAGGCTGAGCATCACAGGCTTTTGTGTCTGGCTATTTCCCTCAGAAATAGTTTTTTGGGGTTTAAGCTGATTTTGGGGAAAGGGGAAGGTAGTTTCCATTTGTACCTGGAAGAAGCTTTCTACATATTGCAGCAAATAGACCCCACAATCACTGCTGTTATCTTGTTTAGGTACTCTGGGACACAGGTCGATCATAGTTGATTTATTGAATTCTCGATGTGTTTTTCGTTTAGCTTCCCATTCCACTTCAAGGTACCTACAAAAGAAAGCAAATAGATTAAATACTTGAGAAAACTCCCAAGCTCAATGCATTTTGGGGTACTACTCAGTATTGTTCTGGAGCTGGCCAAAAAGCTAAAATAGCTTTAACCAATTTCTTCCACAGAATCTGTCAAAGAAATTCATACAAGGAACAACGCAATTTCCACTGTCCAATATTCTATCACACTCAGAGGCATCTCTACCACATAATATGCAATACACAAAACAAAGATGTATGACATTATTTAAAAACAAAGTTTTGTGCTGAGTTTCTCCAAGCTATTAGGATACCAGGACATTTTTAAACCTTAACTAAAGGAAGAAGTCAAGTAATCTTTCCTGGCTATCACACCGATTTTTCCTGGGTTCATCCTAGGAGGCCAGCAGTGGTTTTCTAACCGAAGCAAACCATTAAAAAGCCCTTAGAATTCACTTTACAAACAACTTCAGTTACAATTGCACCAATATAACCCTTGCAACCTACTAGTGTACAAGGTATATAAAGACTTGTTAAAAACCTTAAGGGACCACTTCTTTAATGATTATGACTTATTTGTTATCAGGCTTTTCTATTGTTCTTGTGCTTCAGTAGCAACTCACTGATCCCACGTTCTGGGCTGGCCACTGACTTTGAAGATGGGATTGAAAGCATAAGGGTCTGATTTTTCAAAGGCAACAGTTACCTGTACTTTTCTGCTGACTTTAGTCAGAGTTGCAAAGGCTCAGGGCTTGTGAAAAATCAAATGTAAGGTCTGACTTAATGCATGTATTTTTTTATTCCCTAAAGTCAGACCGTATGTTTGATTTCTAAAAGCCCGAAGTCCTTGCAATTCTGAGAATAAAAATACATATAGAACACCCAAAACACCTTTGGGGAAAATGGCAACAGTGAAAAGGCGGCAAACATGAAACAATTCAAAGATGAAGACAGTTCAGTGAAGCACATTCCCCAGAAACTGCAAGTACCTATGACTGTAGACTTTAAAATTAATTTGTTTGAGCCGGATCACTGCCCAAAACACAACAAAAATCAACTCAAGGAAAGAAGAGGTCACAGAACCTCTGCATCAGTTTCCTTAAACTTCTGCTTTCAGAGTGTAACTGCAAATTGAAGGAATAATAGGTCTGCTTCCCAAATTTCCCTGATCTCACAACTCCATAAACCACCTCTTTGTTTTCTGACCTTTCATGACATCTCTCTGAACTCCAGGAAACCACTCTCTCTGGAATTTCAACCTGAGGAGTAGCTCAAAGCATAGAGCACTAAGTTAATACATTCCACAGAGATTTAAAAAACAAACAAGCAAGCAAAAAACCCAGCTATTTCATCCTTCCTCCCAAGACACACATGGTGGGGAGGCCTCTCTGTCTAGGGAAAAGATGGTTTCACAAAAATTTCTGATTCTCAATCTAACCCTCACACAGCATTTTGAAGAATTTATTTTTACAAGAAGGATGTACTATTTGGTTTAGATTTTTGTTCCTTTCAGTGAAGTGGATACAACAGAGAACAAAAAGAACAATTCTGTTTAGCTTCAAATATTTAATATTAGCAACTTTTTAAAAAGTTGTCGATAGATGTTAAAAGCCATTAGGAGTGTGTAAAAGTACTGAAAGTTTGAAGACATTCTTCCAATACTTATCTACTTATCACATAAAAGACTGAATATATTTTTACTCTCACTTTACAAAACAAATAATACCATTCCAATATAACTATACTGACACATCAAGCTTTTAGACAGCTTCAGTCTCGTTTCTACTTTTTTTGCACATAGATAGGAGTGGATTTAACACTAATTCTGTAATTTCTATCAAAAAAATCAAGCTCAGCCCTTTGGAAAATTAATCATTTAAATTTCAAAGTATTAATTTTAAAGAATCTGTTTTTCTACCCTTAAAAACACCCTCCATTACTGAACTGGAAGGGATTAAAAAAACCCAAAATCCCCTCTACTTTTTTTTTTCCAATTTCAAAAAGTGTCCACTTTACAATTTTTGCATATCTGGGCTGCAGAACAAAGACAGGCTTTTCACACAAGCCTCTGTATTGCTATTACAATCTTCTTTGTCGTGGCTCTTTATGGATTTTCCTTTAGCATTAGAAACATACACCTTTACAGAGAAAGCGATTTTGAACATAGAAATATGACCAGCAGCATCTCTCTAATAAATAGAAACTGTAGTTACTTACTCTCTCAAAACCTGAACTGTTTTCTGCACAGAACCAGCTTTCAAAGAATCTAAGATGAGTATACAAGGCCTGTACACAACAAAAACAAACAAACAAATCATTGTAGTCTTTTATTACCAAAACTACTGAAGCAAATATTTTGTTTGAATACAGCTTAACAAGAACATCAATATCTGAACAAACATGGAAAAAAAAGGACAAGTTCCTCCCGCCATGGCTTTATGACAAATAACTGAATGACTGCAGAATTTTGTAATATAATTTAATGATACAATATTAGTATGAAAACGGAAACGTACCTTTTACAAATCTGCCTTTTGGAATTACTTAGGGAGATCTGGGAGAAAAGAAAATAAAAATAACCTTAAAAAACCTACAACAATTATAAACTCAAATGTCTTCATAGATTCAAAGGTAAAGCCAGAGAGGTTCCCATTTCAGAAAGGGAGAAACTGGTAAATAATTTTTAAAAACACGTGAAAGCATAGCATAGGCAACACAGGTAGGCAAAGGAGGACTTTAGGCTAATTCAAAGTGCCTTACACATGCTGCAGGCCACGCAAACATCAACAGCTGCTGCAAAAAAGACGATGCAAAATCACTTGGTCAAGTCTCAGAGCCTTCAGAAATAGAGTAATGCATGTTTCCTCTGTCAGTACAAAAAGGCACTTACTTTAGAAATACCTGAATCCAGGACTGAAGCAGAAGTAGCAATTTCATTGCCACCTAGTACAAAAGAACAAATTAAAAAGTCTTAAGAAAATATTTCCTAGCGGAAATATTTTCCTTTTCAAATTCATGATTATTAGTATTCAAAATACGATAGTGAAGTATAAACTAATTTTGCTTCCCTTCTGAATGTTCAAATAGCAGAGTTACTGAGGGCCTTCCTTCCCGATAAAATTCTTACTCAAATCCAAGAACTTCCCACTCATGATGGGATCTGAGCCACTGATTCTACATGTCCCTTCCAGCATTCTCCAGAGTTGCAGACAAGAAGAATGCAGTGCAGTCCTTGCTATGCATGGTAATACAAAAACATATTACATCAATCTTGATGTGAAAGATACTTTTTAAGACATGATCTCTCTCCTTCAAGGATTAAGGCACTATTAGAATTGTATATGGCTTGACATAATTTTCTTCTAGACTACCTACCTTTTGAGAATAAAATTCTGTTAGCATCCATTTCTTCTTCATCCTTGCAGTTACCAGGAAAGGCCAACACTGAACCAGTTCTAGTGTTCTCACCCTCTGACGAAAGTGGAGACTGTTGAGGCTGGTGATATAATGAATTTTGATGGGGACACTCCTCATAGACAGCTTCTTCTAACCAAGGAAAACAGATAACTGCAATGTACCAATGAGACCTGTCCAGCAGTGGGGAGAGGGGGGGAAAAAACATCAAAACTGTGTAACATTTGGTTCTGAAAAGGATATGAAAAGTTTTTATAACATTGAGAGCTCATGGACAACTGTTCTGTGACACATAACCATTGTTGCCATGTTCCTTCATGGCATCTCATACCAATCCTCTCACTCATTTTTCACTTTGCCTTGTGGCATAACAGCATAAGTAAGTATCAATTCCTTTAAAAAAACCCAACAAACCCACCACAGCAATTTATCAGTGTCTCACCACCCATCCCACACTGTTAAAAGAAAAAAAAGTAATAAAATAATCTGTGATGGTGATCCCAGTTCTGAATATAGCTGAGGGTATGGCATGCCTCCAGCCTTATCTCTTTCTGCGGCCATTTTGCATATGTAACTCTCAATGACTATTCAGTTTTACTGGAGTTTCCATGTGCAGGTCAGCTATTCAACCAGGCCAAGCCACAGACTATGGAAGTACTACTCCTGATCCATTAACACTATGAGTTGCTGTGATTTCTTTACAGAAATATTACTTAAGTGCACAGGAATCACCATAATGACACACAAATTATTTTGAAAAAAATACATAAAAGCAATTTTCAGTAAAACAGAAAACAAAGATGCTAAGTTTACTGAAGACAACTAAATAGTGTAACTTTTGAAGAGACTTCAAAACTACTCATTCCACACCTGTTACTTCTTCAAAATCTAATGTGTTCATTTCCAATGATCCAAGCTTACAGCCATAAATCTTTTTATCACCACAACATTCAAATATTTCTGATATTTAAATCTTTAAATATCAGAAAAAGGTGTCTAAAACACATAGACTTACTCCTCGTTCACAGGCACAAAGATATAATCTTTGCTGAAGATGTTTATATGACGAGTCCATGTTCTTACTCTTCTGTGTCTTCTCTGTGCCACTCTGCAGAAACCAAATGACAATTGTTGTTCGGATTTGTTCTTTTTAGTTAAAGCAAGGTATAGCGATTAGTACTCCTACATCTTCCAAATCCCTCAATGGGTTTTTCTGAAATTTCCCCGACAGAGAAAAAATAAATCAGCACACCATTAAGCCCAAGTAACTAACAAGCCATTTCCAAACCATCTTAAACTCTTCTGGAAAAAATCACTCATAGATTTGAAAGGACTTCTTGTGGTTATTTATCCAGTCATTATTATTTACTATACTAAAAGCAAAAATCTCATCTAAACACCAGCCAGTGTAAAAACAGATCTATAGCAATTTACAAACATCCATGAATTAAACTTCACAATACCACTTTTGAAGGCCTGTCTAAACAACCTTATCTTTTGAAGGAAAAAGCTAAATGCCTTGCATAGGGTCATGCAACACACCTGTAGCAAAGCCAGAACTGAAACAGATTCCCTCCAGTCCTGAGCTTTAAATGCTGAAGGACATTTCACTTCCAGTCCTACAGACGTAAAGCATGAGGACAGGATACTAGGAGAATAAAAAAAACTTGAGAAGAAACCTAAATTTAGTTTCAACTTTCTTCGTTTGCACAAGTTGAAATAGAAACCAACGGTTCATAGAACTTTGCTCCTATATGATCTGAAAGCAAAATTCACTCTACTCAGGAGACATCCCTATTACCATTCTGATTCCATCCTGATCTGTGATCAAGAAACATAACTTCAGTGGAGGAGGAACGGGAGAAAAGGAGTGAGGAATGGAAAAACAAGCTGCTGTGGGACTCTGCATGGGCCAGCATTAAGTGAAGACTTGCTACAAACTTCCTCTGCTACGTGACTCTAGAAGCACTGGGAACTTAAAAGGGGAAGGCCGTTTGCAGCCTGGGAGAGCACCTATAGAAGGAGCTTTCTCACTCTACTGCCTAAGCAGTGTGAAGAAAGAGAAGCAAAGGGTCTTTAAGTTAAGCAGCTACATCAGTTGATATTAATTTCATTTACAACAGTACAGAGCCCAATTTTCCACTATCCATTTATCCAAAAAACCCCTCAGAAACAAACAAAACCCACTACCTGTAATCACCAGGTAAGTATCTAAGCCCAAACACAAAACTAGAACTTCCAAAGCTATCTCCTGATCCAGAGCAGCTACAGTCCTTGAAACATGGTGAATTAAGAGTGCCATTCTAGTTCCTCAAGAAGGTTATGGATAGTCATGTAAAAGGATGTATGGATAGCCATGTAAAAGGAATCAGATCAAGGCACAACAGCATTCTTAACAAGAATAGTTTTGTCTCCACCTCAGAACATTCAGGGTCAGAAGACAGTAAAATGATGGAATACATTCTCTTAAGCACAGCTCCTTGAATTTTTGAGACATCTTTGAAAATACTAGAGAAGTTGCTTTTTTTCCCTTTAACATAGCTTTCACCCAGCAGTGACTCTAACACGAACAAGATAGCACACTTCTTTGTGCAGGTGGCCTTGTTTGCCATTAGAATGAAAAACCTGGCGACTTCATGGATAACAGAAGAAAAATCACTTCAGAGAAACAGAAAAAAAAAAACTTTGATAAGCTGAATGATGAAAACAGAATGAAAGTTGCTGGCAGATCATCACTGTAAGTGAAGTGGCAGGGCAAGCTCCACTCTCAAACATTAGTGTTGAGGAGGAACGGAAAGTGTGCTAGGGATGGTCCTACCCTTTATACAGTCTTAGCTGGAAACACAAAGTGATACAGGGTTCTTGAGCTCTTAATGACACCTTTTTTGTGAAACTCTCCAATTCCAGTGCACTTAAGTGTTAATAAACAAGTGTGTAAACTTTGTATGTAAGAAAATTTTCTTACTAAAAATTTGGACAATAATTTATTACCAATATGTTTATTACCAAAATGAAATATGTGGTAAATCTAAAAATATTTTTAGAAGTGCAATTTCTTAAAATGATGCATACCTTGCAAAATGCTGAGTTTATAATAAAAAGATCAAAATACATAAATAATTGTCTGAAGTACAGATTCAGATAAAGTTGGAGCAAGGTGATAACATTTTCATTCATATTCAGTATGAATCACATGTAGATTTTAACGAAAAGCACCCGTGTGCTTAAATTGTGAGTTACAACATTTAACCACTAATCCTTTGGAGAACACTGATTACTATTTTATGTGCTAATTAGGAGATGATCTGCAGAACTTCCAAGTGGCATCAACAGATAGCTTATTTCTGGTCATAATGGCATCTAAAATGAACTTACGAAACTTTGAGATCCCCCTCAGAGTTTTTTTCTGTCCTGGTCAGGCACTTATAGAAGAAACTGCTAAAAATGTGTGTACGATCAGCAAGATGTTTTGGTGCCTTCTCCAACAACAGGTATCTACCAAAGAAAAAAGAAGGAAATCATTAAATTCCTTTTCTAGAAAGTACCATTACTGATAAAAAAAGGACAATTATTTTAATGACTTATCATACTCAGGTTATGCTTACTATCAGTTGCCTTCACAGCCGCTAATCATGCCAAACTTTTCTCTCTACTCTATTTTCAATATGCACGAGTGGACATCATCAGAGTATGTAACAGCCAAGCAACTACTAAGAATGCAGTTATTTTTTATCTCAGGTTTGTGCTCCGGTATTAATACTGCTCAATTTATTTTTAGAGTTAGGTTTCTAGCCCTTGCAATTAAGACAGGCTTGAAAACCTAACCAAGTACAAGCCTGTGGAGTGTTATACTGTGTATACAAAAAGCGTAGAACAGTTCAGTACTATAAATTGTCCATTTTACTTCTACACATTATACATGTGAAAGTTAAGGCAAATATTCTACAGGTACTCATTCTGTGTGATTTTACTGTTGATCACTTTACTATAAACATCAGCTTGAGTGTTTATTCTGTCATCCTAGAAGGCCAAAGCTCTCATAATTGCAGTCATCCTACACAAGGTGCCTCCAGCTTCACCTGAAGACTTGGGCAACACAGTCATACATGACACAGCCTGCAACACAAAGAAAACTGAGAATGTGGGAAGTCTAACAAATTCAGAAAGTAGAGGGGTTTCTGCAATGATTGCATTAAATTCCTTTATTCAAATCTTCCTTTTCTGGCGAGATGAAGCTACAGCTATTGAGAGGACCACACTGCATGATTTATTTCTAGTTTAGAGCAAAATACAGGTGGCTTTGCTGTAAAACCACATCAAAACACTCTGGTACACGCTTCCTTTCCCACTCCTCTAGACAAGAAGTTTTAACTGGCTTCCTATTGCTTGTAGTTACCGCAGCCATGCTAGATGCCAAGAAAAATGGAATTCTTGCAGACGACCTTCAAAAGAGCCAGAATTCTGCTTAGGTTTAAGTCAGCATAAGGAAACCAAACCTCAGCTTTAGGGAATGGTGGCCCACAATGCTGGTTCTGGAAAACTTGTTTTCACAAGCAACTTTAGCAGGATGGCATGAAGCAGGTAAGCCATGCACCACTTCCTCAAGAAGTATTAGCTGTGTTCCTTTCTGCAGGAGCTGTGCATCAGAAGAATTCCCGAACCCTCGCACAGAATAGCACAGGATGCTCCACTTCATGCAAACTTATTAAATAAACTACCTAGTACAGACCCTCAACTTTGTTCAACTGCCTGCTTAAAACTGCTCAGCACTTTCTGTTCTGTGAGGTCACCAAGAGGCTTTTTTCCCCCAGCTATTCTGTCTGGATTACATCACAGACCTTTAGAGGGACAAGAAGAATGAAATTGAAACAAATGAAACTACTGAGAATAGATAAAAGCTTTAAAAAAAGCCCAACTTACAAATTCATCATACTGTTACTTCTAAAATTGTTGTATCATATTTAGTGACCAACATTTACAGTAACATTCAAGTCCATATCAGGTCCCAAAAAGAAAGGTACAATTAAGGCTGTGATTACTTACTTAAGATAGAAATCAATGATGACATCATTGAGAAACTCTCCATATTCTAAGCACTCGAGGTCTTCTCTTGTGACTCCCAGTCCTCCTTTTGCAGGTGGGGGTGGATAAACAATTAAACTAGAAAACACAAATCACGTCATAACAGTGACAAACTGTGTTTTACATAACATTCTTCTTTGTATGGCTGTTCCACGTATAGAAGATTTTCTAGAAAACCTGTTAAAAGTGGTAGTTCTCAAAACTGTTGACTAACTCAAAAGTCCTTTATAATTTCTTCCTCCAATAGTTAAGCATTACAAAAGAAATATGCACCCCACTGCACGCTTAAATTCTGAGAAAACTTTTGAAAAGGAGATTATTTTTCCCTCCATCTTGTTTTTCTATTTTTGATAAAAGTAATTGACAAATGGCTATATAAAATGGGAAGAAATACTAGGGGACATATTCTCAAATGGTATGAATGAACAGTGATTTTTCTGTTCATTAAGACTCCAATAAGGACACCCACATTTCCAAGCAGGAAACTGGGGTTTACGCAGCATGCAGCATTATGTACTGTAAGTGGTTTGAAACTGCCCAAGTTACTTCTAAAGCTAGTATTAAAAATGTATTTAAAAAGCTCTAGATTAACAACCGTATTACTTAACTGGAACCATGAACTGAGCATTTTTGCTGTTGCAGAAACAAAACCAACTGCTACACTCTCAGTAAAAACAGTGACGGCAAAAGGCAAGAGTTCTTAAGAGGAATTTACTTCACTAATGTTTGCCATACTAGAAGTAAGAGGATTAACAGGCTAGTGCAGACAGAACTGAGGCATGTCAGTGCTCTCATAGCATCTTGCTGCATTACACATTTGTGTGTTCTCATTTTCTAATGAGAAACCATTTGTTTTCCAAATGGTTTGTTTCCAAGCTTTGTTAACCAAGCTCCTGTACTAACCAATAAATTGTATGACAAACTAGTTATAAATAGATTGAGTGTGACAGAACAGTGAAAGAAAACATTGTTTAGATTAAAAAAAAAAAGGCTCAGCTTAAGTTAGCAATAGTTTTGCTGTGATATGGACTTAGATGGACACTCACAGAGGCCATGAGGTCCCCACCCTCCCATTGATGCATCCATAATATGAGCTTGTAGTCACAGTTCAGGTATCCTCTAGTTTCAGTGAGATTTTCTGTCATCCTGTAACACATCCATTTTGTCTGTTAACTATCAGGATGGAAACAGGAATAACTACATTCATACTTGGTGATATTTTAGATTTCTAGAGCATCTTTCACACAAAACTTTCAAATCAACTAGAGAATGCTTTTATTCCAGCAATTTGTTTATTCCATTTGTTTTATTTTCACCTTCTCATCTATATGAAATATACTTACTTCTTAACTGCTCCGGTTTCTCTTACTTCTTTCCATTCTTCATTCAGTGCAGAGGACAGAGAGATAGAATAGCAACCACTATTCTGCTTATTCGCAAGGGCATAACTGGGCCTGGCCACTTTTCGTTTTGATTCCTACCAGAAAAAATCCAAACAATAATAATAGTAAAAGGCATTACACAGCTTGATATGTAAAACAGAACACACAAAAACCAATCCTGAAGCCCACAGGAGTACCCTGCATCACTGAAGGGGAATCTTGCTGGAGAGCCGAAGTGTAAACATCAGTATTTAGGCAAACGTGCCACTGTTCAGACAATAAAAAAGTTATGTCCCTTTTAAAATGATGACAGGTCTTCATCTGTTCATAACCTCTCTCTAAAACTGTTTAAGCATTATTCAGCCAAGTGACACAGAATTGGTTTTGGACAAGAAACAGGACCTGAAAGGATGGAGACAAGTATCAGACTGTCTTACTAAGAGTTGTGTATGCTTGGAAGGTTGGAAAACCTAGTTCTTAACAATTTGCCTAAAAATGATACAGATTTGAACTGGCTGGCTCAATTTTTAAGTTCCCAGTTTCACAGCCAGATTGATCTGTTGTCTCTGTGCTTTCTACTGATGGGAACAAACATATGTAATTTCTCAAGTGACAATGATGTGGGGTTGGGTTGAGACATTGACTCCTCAGAGGGAGGTGTATTAACAAATTAACTTGCAGAGCCACATGTCCTCAAAAGCCTTCGGAATCATTTGGCATTTCAAGCTGTGGAGCCCCCACAAGAATGACTAGAGGTGTCTGGAACAAGCAAGATACACAGCTCCTCCTCTGCTGCACCCCTTCACTTCCAGCTCAACTGAAAAATGGCTCCATCACTCATTACTTGATTAACTCCCAACCTGCTGCCCAACTTGCTGCCCTGGAGACACCACAAGGGCAGGAAATCCCTGTGGTTATAGGCATATGCAACCATGAGTCAACCTAAAGCTTCAGTATTTGCCATTTACTGATGAGGTCTATACACTATCCCTCTGTGGACACAATCTAGTTTACTGTAAATCTTGTCCCATTGTGAGAGAAATGACAAACATGACGTGATTTTTTTTGAGCTATGGATTAAGAAAGAATTTATTTTCTGCAACTGGCTAATCTAAAACTTACTAGAATATGTGAACACCAACAGGTGGTGATGAATCAAGCAACAGCTACTCACTAACCTGAACTGCAGGCTCATGAGCATCTGAGGTATTCTCTTTTGACATACATTGCTTTAGTAGATCCTTACTGTAACTCATAAAAGAGCTCTCTTCAGGACAAAGGTCCTTAAACAAGGGTAACGCTTGCTTCAAAGACAAAAGGTCAGGGAGATCTGGTGCTCTGTTCTTCTTGCTCACATCTGTAATCAATTCAGTCAGTCTGCCTTCTTCCCATTCTGTGAGTGGTTGGGACAGTTCAAGAAATACAAATTCACTAGATTTGGCTGGAAAAAGGAGAGAACGGATAGTATTAACTATTAGTTATGTGATAAAAACTTGTCTGCACACCCACAAAGGAGCATAGAGAGACAATGGCAGCAGGGGGAGCCCAAATAATACCCTGCCAGCTTCATCGCAGGGGCCATCAGCCCACTAAAGGCCCACCTCCATAAGCCCAGAGGAGCACAAAGGCACAATGGCAGGTAGGAACCCGAATTAAGGACTGGGAGGAAGGGACACCTGGTCTGGGCCCTTCCCAGGGCTGTCCCAGGAGATCCTCAGCCCCAGGGTCCAGACCTGACACCCATCAAGATGAGTCCATGTCAGAGCACCTTTTGGACTGAGGGGGGGTGCTACTGAGGTGTGTGGCACATGTGATGGGATGCAGGGGAAGAGCATTTTGGGATTGCACAGGACTTACTATGGGATGTTTCAGGGAAGAACCAAAGGCAGGCAAAAGGGAGGCATTTGGGTGATCTGGGAAGGAAGAAGTGTGGGGAAAACAGAGGGCTAAGGGCATAAAAAGGACCAGTTGCATCTAAATACTTTGCTGGTCAGTGCACTTGTCTGGCCATGCCCTGTGCACTGATCAGTGCAGTCTGCCCTATCTTCTTACTAAATTCCTTTCTAACTCTCTCCTGGGTGAAGGACTCTCTATTTCATGTGTGTGTATGGGGGTCTGAGCGCAGCAACTGGAGTGAGTGCGCATGTGCAAGTGAGCATGTGATTGCTAGTGAAGATCAAGCCAAACAGCCAAACTAGGTGAATAGGTGAACTGCCCTGGGAGCCAGGGGGGTGAGCAGGTCCCTAAGGGACAGTTCTGGCTGTGAGACTGCCTGTGTATCTCTAAGGATGAGAGCACACGGGAGTCAGCTGTTGGGACCCGGGGAGTCCTGGCTAGCTGTGTGCCTGTGTGCACATGACGGTCTGTACCAGCAACTGGCAGTAGCCTCAGTGGCTTGTATGTCCAGGTGCCAGCAACTGGGCAGTTGGGATCCAGGGCCAGCAACTGGGCAGACTGAGTGTCTGAGCCCAGCTGACAGAGGGATCCGCCGTGTGTGTGTGTGTGTGTGTGTGTGTGTGTGTGTGTGTACTTTCTCACTAGTGGACCGCCATCCTGCTCAGCCAGAGAGGGGAGCAGGATGAGGCTGTTGCTGCTATCTGTGTCTGTATGAGTGCTGTGTGTCTGTGTTACCTGTGTGGCCAGCTATGTATATATGTGGCGCGTGTGTGTGCTCTGTGTGCTCTACCTATTGGGACTACATCTTCAGCCTTGCTACTGGTTGGACCTGGGGACATGGAGCTGCAGCAGCCTCACCCCTCTCAGGCTGTCAGATCTGGCACAATATGTTTTCCTCTAATATTAACACACTAAGAAGGCAGAGCAGAATCATAGCAACCATTTCCACAACCTGTAAAACCACCACTGATTTGTTTCAGCAAGTCTCTACATACATTTAAAAATATTTACATTGCTACATATTTAAAAGGCATAAAACATTCAAGCACAGAAAAATTTAATAACAACTCCTGAAGGTTTCTCCTACAACAAGAATGTAATCAAGGTAAATAAACCTAAGATTAAAAAGTGCCTCACAGCTTCATACTCAGATTCTGCTCATTTCACTGGGAGCTGGGTCTATAGAAGCTACCAGTAACTTTGATAAATTTCCATCAAGTAAAGGTAATTCACTGCTAAAATTTCATTCAGTATCTCACTTCAAACTACTCGTGCTCCTTATGTAAAGTTAACATTACTTATAATTTTTCTTCATACAGGTGGGGATTGTACAGGGTAAACATACTGTTAAATTTCACACAGGCAACTGACATCATAATTTTGTTAGATGTCATTTTCCAATGATTTTGCTAATGTAATTGTGTGATTGTGCCACTCTGAATATTTGAGCAAAAGTTATATTCAGTTTTACAGAGCTTCATGCTAGAAAAACAAATAGAGCCAGTCCATAAGACCCTACAGACTAAATAGCCCATTCGGCCTTTAGTAGAAATTTTCTCCGGTAATAATGTAATGGCCCAATGCAGTCTTGTCAAAGATCAAATCAACCTTTATCTGCCAAGCCTTTCGTCTAGCATATACATTACTCAAGACTAAGGACACTTAAAACATCCCATTTACTTTAAAGGGAGAGATACTTCATCATACACAAGCCTAGTTTCAGAAGGCCTCCTCACACAGCTTACAACTGAACTGTGTTACAAGGTCTTTTTATTAAGTAGCAGTAGTTTTTAATCACATTATGTTAAATTTTTCTTCCAAATACAAGTATAGCGAGGCATTTTAGAAAAGCAAAACTGACCAACTTATCTTTAAAAAGCTATAGCCTTTCCTCAGTATTCCAGAAGCACAACTGTAAAATAACTGCTTTACTGACATGCCATATATTAAACCTCTTCACTGCATTTAAGGAAAGAGATTACTCACATGGCTTGCTGATAACTAACTTTCCTAATTGGGTTTCAATCTTTTCTACATAATCCACAGACAACCAAAGGAAAATGATCGTTGTTGAAGAACAGCCACCATCACTTCTCCACAAGCCAAACCTTCTCAGATCCAGAGTATCCACTGTCAGCTTAATATTCTTATTAAGAGCCACTGTAGAAAATAGAATTTAAAATAACCATATCTTTCACGGCCATGGGTAATTATAAAGTCATACATGTTATAGTAATTACATACTAAGATGTAAGTACAATCAGAGTGTATTACAACAGTACTTGTAGATTTTATTCCTGGCACTACATAAAACGTGTTGAGAATTTAATACTTAAATCAGTTATATCAAACTACATAAAACAAAGTTACCAAACTGTAACACCAAAAGCTAAACAACTAAATGCAGGGTTCTTAATGAAAAAAAAAAACTGTTTTTTTCTCAGAATAACCACAGTTAATACCTATAAATATAGAAAAAAATATTGCAAATCATTAACTCCTATTTGCTTTTAGTCAACCCAATTCAGAATTGCTCACAAACCTTCTCCTACAAGATACAGAAACCACACATCATCTT